GCTGCGAGCGCAGACGCCCTCTGGCTGCCGCCGGGAGAGCTCGTGGCGCGTGCCCGCCCTCCGCGGCGCTGGCGCCGCAGCGGTGCAGGCTCGAGGTGAGGGGGGCGAGAGAGGACCAGGGTGCAGCCAAAAAAACAGGCTCCACCCGAGGAGGCCGAACGCTAGCCCAGAGGGTTTCTTGCAACTCGGCTGCACTTGGGAGAAGAAGGGCCCCCACTCCCGTGAAGCGTAAGGAGACGAGCCGCGGTCCTGGGCACCCTCAACCAGCCTGCCGCGGCTCCCTGCACCGCCGCAGGCAGTGGCTGCCTATGCCCGCGGCTGCCTATGCCCGCGGCTCCCGCCCTGCCAGGAGGACCTCGTCTCGGAGCCAAGCTTGCCTGGAGATGAGAGGGAAGAGGGGGGAGGGCCAGGAGGCAGGCTTCTCGATGGTCAGGCAAGGCAGGACTGCCAGCAGCCCGCACGGGTTACCGAGTAGTCAGAGGTCCACTAGATCATACAAGTGACCTCGAATGGATCGTCTCCGTGTCAACCGTCGCCAAAGTACCAAACTGCACCGTCCAAATACACCCAATCGCAATTTGTCTCAATATGAAAATAAATCGGCGTAAGCCATACAGACGCAAACCGTAAAGATATCGTGCAAGACTCGTTGTTGCCGTAGTCGTACGGGTAGTTCGCGCTCCGCACGCAGCCGTCGGACTACGTGCAGTCGCCAACGATAGAGAAGGGATTCGTTGTCGAGGTCGCTGAGGTCGTGTGTTCTGTGGTCGTAGAAGATATCGTCGAAGAGGTCAGCATCGACGTCGAAAAGCTCGAAGAGGTCCCCGTCGAGGAGGTCAGCGTCGATGACTCCGTGGTCGTGTGACCTGTGGTCGTCGAGGACTCCGACGTAGCACTTACCGAAGTGGTGCTCGATACCGATGTGGTCCAGCGGCGCCCGCCTCCGCAGGCGCAGCACATGTCGGCAGGGCTGAAGTCCGCATCGTCGTAATAAGTTGCCCATTCGCAGGTCGAAGGGTACCAATCCCACTTCAGGCATCCACTCAAATCGGTTCCCACTCAAATCGGTTCCGTCTTGCGCATAGCTCATGGCGCCGTCATTTGTGTCCGCGCACAACTCGTACAACTGCTTTGTGTAGACCCCGCCCCACTTGCAACCGCAACAGGATTCCGCCGAGCCCCCGAGGTAGCAATCATCATGCCATACATTCCAGCTATGACCTTCCCGAGGGCATCCTGTGTTGGGCTCCCTTTCTACACAAGTTGTTTCATTCCCAGTCCCAATACAGACACAAGTGGAGCCGCCACAGCCGCAATAATACACGTCATCAGTGTTCAATGTAGGTGTTCAATGTAGGCCGAGGTGGCAAATAAGAACCTACAGCACAACCGTGCAGACCCACGCGCTGGTACCCACGGTCACGTATGCACTCGTGGTCAAGCCGAGTTCCTGCGCAGCGAAGGAACATAGATCATAGATCCTGATCGGCGGTGGTGGACCACTGGCAGTATCCATCATCCATTGTGTGGGTAGGTATTCTTACGCACCTACCAGAATAATACGGATATTCTTGTATAGCTCGACTCGAACCGACGTATCCAGCGTCGCAAACGCAACCATCTGCCACCCCATTGCAACCAGCTATCACAACTGAATTTGCAAGGCAAGAGACGTCCGAACAGTCGTCGCTGTCGCCGTCGTCTCGCTTCCCTGCTTCATAAGGCGTGCACTCCACGGCACCGCCGAGGACGGCCCGGCGACGTGTTGAGCCACCTTCGCATTGCACGCAGTCGTCGGAGCTCCCGTCGTTGTAGTAGCCCGGGTGGCAGTCGGTACATACCGCTGAGCGCCGCCTCGTCGTGGAGCAACTCAGAGCCGCCGCACGCTCGTCCGAGGTCATGCTCTCGGACTCGTAGGTGCCGCCAGGGCAATCCGTGCATGCCGTTGCCCTCCTGCGCCGGGTCGTGCCGCCGAGACATGAGGTGCACTGGTCGATGTCGCCGGCGTCGTAGGTGCCAGGGTCGCAGTCCGTGCAGGATGTGGAGCGCCGCCGCCGCATCTGGCCGTCCAGGCACTGCGCGCCAGTCGTCCAGGTTCTCCAGGTCGTAGTGGCCGTCTGGGCACTCCGTGCAGGACGTCGATCGACGCCGCCTCGTCTCGCCGTCGGTGCACTTGTAGCACGTCGGAGGGGCCCCGTCGTTGTGGCAACCCGCGATGCACTCCTCGCTGTACCAGGGGTGCACGTGAGCGCACGCCTCCGACGCCGCGTCGTCGTAGCACCCGATCAGGACGCAAGTGACAGGGCACTCGTCCAGTTCAATGGACTTGTTGCAGCCGCAGGCGACGGGGCAAAGACACCTGATGTGCTGATGCATACCGTCGGCGCAGAGGTCGAGGTTCAAGAAGGACGTGACCTCGTAGGAGGCGAGGAAGTCGCAGCCAACCAGGCCTCGCGGGTGTGGCAGCCCCAGCACCAGGTCCCAGCTGCCACCCGCCAAAGATCGGGCCATCTCGAGTGGCGATCTGCTCGATGAGCTCGATCTGGGTGGCCTCGTCGGGGGCGATGCCGGCGCAAGCCGTCTCGACGACGTTGGCGACGCCTTCTCGGAACCCAGGCACGCGCATGAAGTGCCCGAACAGGCCCGTCGCGTACAGCACGAACACGATCGCCTTCGGCGGCAGGCGCCAGCCGGCCTCATCGAAGTGCTCGTAGCACTCGAGCGAGCTCTCGAGGTCACCGTAGCCACCCCCGCAAACGCAGCAGTGCTCGGCCGCCCGGAAGTCGTCGTCGTCGTCGTCGTCGTCGGCTGAGCCGCAGCCCTCGTGCGCCATGGCGTAGACCGTGCAGCCGTTGCCGTTCTTGTCCACACGCGTCTCTCCATGCGAGTCCGAGCACCCGCCGCCGAAGCTGAGTCGGCGGCCTGGAGGTCAGCGCATCCCTCGAACACCGAAGTGAGGACGGTGCTGTTGCGGTTGCTTTCGGAGTCGTCCACCGTACAATCTGGGTCCTTGGGGTCTTCGTCTGCGTCGAGGTCGCGTTGAGGTCCGCAATGTCTGACGGGTCGTCGGGCGAAAGCCCCCCCTCCCTGCTCCGCGGGCTACACTCTGCTGGGCTAGCCATTTTCTGGCGTATGCAAGAAGGCTCTCGGATTCTTCTGGCCGTATGTGGGGCTCGCCTCAGGTCATTTGGTGCGGTGCTCGTGTGCGGCGCTGTGGCCTGTACACCCGTCCGCGGAGCCCTGCTCGTGTACAGCGCTGTGTACGCCCACCCGTCGGCGGAGGCCCCCTACGCCGCGGGACCTTATAGCCTAGTATGGTTTGAACGCATTGCGAGTTTTGCTTGATACAGCGCACGGTCAGCATAAACCCTCCTCCTCCCGCTGCCCCCTCTTTCGCCGCTTCCTCTCTCCCGTCTCCTCCTCCTCCTCCTGCTACTGTGGCTCCTCTTTTCTTTGCCTCCTCCTCATCGCCATCATCATCACCACCACCATGACAATCACCATCACCATCACAACCACCATCTCCGTCCTCCTCCTCCTCCTCCTCCTCCTCCTCCTCCTCCTCCTCCTCCTCCTCATCATCATCATCATCATCATCATCATCATCGCTCGGCGTCGACGTCGTTATCGTCATCATCATCAGCATCACCATCGTCATCATCAGTATCATCATCACCATCACAAATCACCATTACCACCACCATCCCCATGACCATCACCATCATCACTAGCATCGGCAAGATCGTCAACCTCACCACCACCACCACCATCATCACCATCATCATGACCATCATCACCATCATCATTATCACCATCCCCATCCCCATCCCCATCATCATCATCATCATCATCATCACCATCATCATGAGCAGTAGCATCCTCATCTTCATCATCATCAGCATCATCATTGCCGTCGTCGTCGTCATCCGCATCCTCATCATCAACGTCATCGTCATCGTCAGCATCAGCATCGGCATCAGCATAAGCATCAACATCATCATCAGCATCATCAGCCGCATTATCATCATCCTCCACATCACCATCATCATCACCAACAACAACATCATCATGATCATGATCATGATCATGAACATCATCATCAGCAGCAGCAGCAGCATCAGCATCATCACCATTATCGTCACCATCTTTCTCCCCATGATTGTCCTTGGATGTCTCCCTTTCCTGCTCTCAGCACGGCGGCTCGAAGGGGGCACACACACACACACACGGCTAAGGGAACATCCCAAATCGCCCAAGACCACCCTGGGAGGGTTCCGAGGCGGCCCAAGCCTTGCCGGAGACTGACCTCAAGACCCCATCCAGACGGGGGCAACCTTCCTAAGCTGTCCCAAGACTCCTCCCCCAGGAGCGCCTGGATGGCCTCGAAAGGCTCCAGAAAAGCCCCAAGAGGGCCCCATAGACTCCAGTGGAGCTCCCAGATAGCCCAAGAATGTCCCCAAGTGGCGCCATGAGTGTAAGAAACATGTGTATGTGTCATTCCCCCTCCTGGACAGAAGAGTTGTGTTCGACTTTCCTTTTGGGGACCCGCCACGACTTTCGCTCTGCGGGCGCAATCACACGCGATCGCATGAATATAATCTTGACGATGCACGAGCACGACACATATATCGCATGATACCGCTGCCTTTGGAAAGACCCAGCGCAGCTGAAGTTACCCTCACGATCCTATGATCTCGACTGCCTTCGTGAACGCGCTGGCAGAATGTGCGAGCGCCCATCAATAGCTCGCCCTTGTCTTCCTTTGCCTCCTCATTCTCTCCCCCCTCTTCTTCCTCCTCTTCCTCCTCCTCCTTCGTCTACACATATTCTTCTCATCCTTGGACAGTGGACGCTCTCGACGCAATGAAAGCGACACGGAGCACTTGCGGCAGACGCGCGGGATTGCACTTGCACGGTGCAGCCACAGACCTGCATTCCTTCCCCCCGTCTCACGTGCTTTGTCCCTCCCTTCCTGTACAAGCCGCTTGGCGCGAGCTCGCCTCGTAGGCGATGGGAAGGCTTATCTCCAAACAGTGGGTGGAAGTGGTCACCACGCCGCAGAAGTGGGCCTGCAGCTTGACGCCTCCATTGACTACCTGTCGTGCGGGGGAGGCTGGGGCCTGAAACTCGAACACAACCGAAACTGCGCTCTTCTTTTGGTACGCCCGGAATGGGTATGGGAAAAAACAGGGACGGTGCCTAGTAGCGAATTACGCCAAACCGCCAGCAACGGCCGCTGCTGGACGGAAACTGCTGGCGGTTTCCGTCCCCGTTCTTTCCGTCCCTTCCCCGAATATCCCGATTCTTGGCAATTCCCCTCCGGCTCATGGGGGAAACGCATCTTCTCTTGCATCTTCGGGGGACCTTGTCTGTCCTGACGCGCCCCCGTCCGCGTCGAATCCGTGTCGAATCCATGTCGGGCTCGTCGAGTCGGGGTCGAATCCGTGTCGAATCTGTCTCAAATCCACGTCGAGTCCGCATCAAGCCCGCGTCGGGCACGAGGGAAGACACCAATTTCGGGGACACACGAGGTCCCCCGCAGACGCAACGTAAAACATCGACCTGGAATCGGAGGTAGATCGCAGACAAATCGGCGATAGGCGTCACCGCACGCCTCAGGGCTGGGGGGGGGACTATCAGGCCCCTGCCGGCGATCCGTGGGCGACAGGGGGTCGATGAACCCTCCCTGAGCAGGTCCCCCCCTAAAGTTCCCCCTGACCTCCTCCTCCCTCGAGGAGGCGTGGCTACACGCAAGAGTGACCCCAGGCAAGACTGCCCTTCGGTGCGCGGCTCTGGGGGGCAATGGGGAGGCCAAACCCGAGCGTGCAGGCCATCCCGCCCTTCCCCCCCCCACGTGCGCCCTCCTGCATCGCGTCTGCACGCCCGCGACGGTCTGCACGAACTGAGCGGCTTTGCCTTGCCCCCCCCTCCTCCTCCTCCCTCCTCCTCCTCCCTCCTCCTCCCTCCTCCTCCTCCTCCTCCTCCTCCTCCTCCTCCTTCCCTTTCCGCCGTGCCCGCATTCGCTTCCGGCACGTCCCGCACGTAGCCCGACCGGCGCCTGCACCTGCTCCAGCTCGCTGGCGCCCGCTGACGTCTGGCGGCGCGCGCAGGAGGGTAGGGGAAGGGGGGAAGGCTTCTCAGAAGGAGGCTGCTTCTTAGAAGGCGCCGGCTCCGCATCTACAGAGAAGGCCCACGCCTTCTGAGAGGCAGAGGTGCTTCTAAGAAGCCTTCCCCCCTTTCTCATACCCCCCTTTGCGCGTGGCCGACCCCCCCCCCGTCAGACGCTCGTTCTCGGGGCCTTCCTGGAGCCGATCGCCCTCCTCAATCACGTCGATGTTGGGTCGAACTTGAGCCGAGCTCGAGTCGAGCTACAGTCGAACTGGCGCCGAACTGGAGTCGAACTGGATCTGCTGAGATGGCCGAGGTGGCTCGGGCCAGCGGGTTGGGCAGTGGCGGTGCTGGACCCAAGCGCGTGGCCGAGACTTCAAAGAAGGCCGCCCCCCCCCAAACGCTGCCCCTGGATCCCCACCCTTTTCCCTCCCATCGCCCGGTCTGCTGCCACGTCCTGCCGTGGAGGCGCCGCCGCGCGGCCGCCAAGAGAGGCTCGCCGCCGCCCCACCTCCCCGCAGCCCCGCATGGTGTGCCCGCGGGATCCTCCCGCCGCGAACTTGTGTTGCGTGATGGTGGTGGTGGTGGTGATGATGCCCCGCCTCCTCCAATTCCTCCTCCTCCTCCTCCTCCTCCTCCTCCTCCTCCTCGTTCGCCCCGATTTCTTGGATCGGCCGCGCGAAACGCGCCCGGCGCGGCGCTGGAGTCATCGCCAGGGCGGAGCCCAGTGCGGATCCAATTACAATGTGTTTCCTCGTCGGTCCATTGCTCTGAGCTATCGTCATCTCGACTGTAATGTTGCCTGCTCGTTCGCGACAACAATATCGACGCGGCACAACAGCAAACGGTAGAACTTCCGAAGCCGGCTAGTCCGGGATATCCCCGACGTGGGCAACAAGTAAAGAAACAGAGTACAAGTACGCGTATGGCACGGTAACACGAATGCAAAATAAGCGAGGTCCGCGAAACGCAAGTGTGAAATATGTGCAACAAGGAAACAACTACGGGTAGGAATCAAAAACGAAAACATACAAACGCACATCCAGAGTACAAAACAGCACTACAACAAACATGAACACATATGAATGCAACTCCGAAGTGTGAAACAAGTACGGCGGAAGTATCTCTCTCACACACACTTCCCTCACACTTTGGACTTCTGGACTTCTGTACGTCGTACTTCTGCACGGCACATATCGCGTACTCGTACTTCGGCGTGGTACGGTGACGGCATTGACTACGGAACCATTGGACAAGGAAGCCAGAGTCCGGAAGCCAGTTGAACTCTAACCGTGGATTGGCCATGGATATCGCCGCCGCCCCCATAAGAGAAGGAACCCTTCGTGGTCCGAAGCCTCGGGGGCACATTCCTTGACCAACGCCCCCACCGTACTTTTTTCGGTTGCAGTTGGGATACCTTGCGTTCCTCTGGGGTCGGGGGCGGCCAAGAGGGGGGCGTCCAAGAGGGAGGGCGCAAATCATGGCCGGCGGCATGTGCGCGGCCCAGGGGGGAGGGGGGTGGGTAGGGACGTAATGGAATAAGAGGCGCCATGAAATCTGAGGAGATACCATGGCCCCCGCCAGGATATCCACCACCCCCTACTCATCATCCCCCTCCTGGCCGCCCCCGAGGGGAGGGAGGTCCGGCGCAGCTGGCCGGGGCCTCACACAACACAACCGCTGCCCAGAACAGACAGCACAGCCGCTGTTGGGCAGTTAGGCTTAGGTCGGGCGTGTCCTCCTCCAAGCGGATTTTGAACGAAAAATCACAACATGTCAAACAAATGCTGCAAAATAGTCAGAAAATTGTCCCCAGAGCATTCTTTTACTATTTTTGAATATTCCCCCTGTAGAAGGACAGGCTCGACTTAAGCCCAGAACCGGGCAATAAGGCGGCCCCTCCAGCGTCTCCACTGGGCCACGCCCGCGGCGCGGCGCACCGACAGAGCGCGCCCTGCTCAAAACACGGGCAGGACCTGCGGTCACTCTTCGTTCTCGTTACGGTGAGGGCATTGGATAAGGAACCATTGGTGGGGGGGGCAACAGAAGGGAGGACTGGCATAGGGGGGGATGCATCGACCTGGAAACGGCAATACATCGCCGATAGGTCGGCGATAGGCCCCCGATAGTGAATCCGCACCTTCTTGGGCGGGTTGGGGCTATCAGACCCCTATCGGCGATCAATGGGCGACTCGGGGTCGATGCATACCCCCCTTCTGCCCCCTATCGTTGCCCCTGAATTGGATACGGAACCTACCGGTGGACGCCAATCGAGGCCTGGCCATGGATATTACCGCCGCCCTCATCAGATAAGGAACCCTCCAGGGTCTGAAGCCTCCTGGGCACATTCCTTTACCAAACTGCTACATGCTTAGAGGCCCCTAGATGGGGTTTGAAGATCGCGCCGCATCGCCGATGCATCGGCGATGCTCCTGAGCCGTCGGCCTGGAGAACATCGGGCTCCGCATGGAGCCGCATCGCCGATGCATCGGCGAGGAGTTGCGATCCTCCGATCCCATCTACGCGGGCCCCATTTGGGAGGCCCGTCGCTTAGCTCTCATTTTGCAGCAAAGGCGGAACGGATACATAACGAGGGATCACGAACAAGAAGCGAAAACGGAAAGCACTGTTCAGCTCAAGTCGAGATTCATCCTTTTTCGAAGGTGTCCTCAGGCGTAGAATGATTGCCTTCTCTCTACCCGCCTGGGATGTATCCTTTGTTCCTGCCTTCATTTTCTACCTGCTTGGAATTCCTTTTTCGAATGCATCCTTTGTCCTGCCTTCGTTTCACCTCCGGCCTAGTATCGGCTACACGCAAGAGTGACCCTGGGTAAGAGTGACCTTTGGTGCGCGGCTTTTTGGGGGCCGCGGGGGACCAAACACGAGCGCGCAAGACGCAACTGCCGCAACGCGCTCGGCGATGGGGGGACCTCAGTGGGCCCGCACCAAAGGTCACTCCGGCGAGGGGTCACTCTTGCGTGTAGTCGATCGAATGCTTGTTCCTGCCCGGCCGAGGATGAGGGGAAGGGGGGGGGGAGGCGATCCTCGAACCTCCTCCTCGAGCCTCGTGCTCGCCCTCGTCCTCCGTGTCCTCCTCGTCCTCCTCGTCCTCCTTGTCCTCCTCGTCCTCGTCTTGCTTCCTCCTCCTCCTCCTCCTCCCTCCTCCTCCTCCTCCTCCTCCTCCTCCTCCTCCTCCTCCTCCTCCTCCTCCTCCTCCTCTTACTCACTCTCCTCCGCCTCCTCCTCCTCCCCCTCCTCCTCCTCCCCCTCCTCCTCCTCTCTCCTCCTCGCCCCGCGTGCGCTGCCCTCGCCCCCGTCGCGGCGGCGGCCGCCATGCGGGCGCGCTGTCCGGGGGCTTCCCAGCCGGCCGCGCGGCGGCCAGCCGCGCGGCAGGGCCGCGCCACCGCCTTCTCTGCAGGCTGGGGGGGGGGTGGGTAGACATCGGTTGAGAATGGGGGGGGCAACTCGTGGTACAGTCAAAACCAATAGTACGGTAGGTTCGTGCGGCGTCGGGGCGCGAAAGGTTTTGACACCGCGTCGATCGTTCAACCTGGAATCGATCGCGGCCCTGATCGTTCAAGGTTGAACTCCGTCGGGTCCCGTGGCGTTACCGCGTGTGTGTGTGTGTGTGTGTGTGTGTTGGTGGGGGGTTAATTTCGTGATACAGTCATAACCGATAGTAAGGATGCACAACAGTAGCACCGGTTGTCTTCCTCCTTCCCTCCTCCTGCTCCTCAGAGCATAGTGGGCCCACACAAGACGTACGCGCCAAACCACGTACATGATTAGGGCCCCTCGGTCCGCGAGACCAACTTCGTTTTACGAACGTTCGCGCAATGCGTAGTTTCGAAACCGATATGGATTCGTGTACGTCTACGTCCTCCTTCCTGCTCCTTGTTGCGGGGCTCCCGCTGGACACTTCCTCGAGCCTTCTGGCTTGCCTCTTGGCGCTTGGTCTGCAGGGCGGCTCTGTCTCAAGGCGGGGCTCTCGCCGGAACGGCATTCCCGTGGGGCGCTCGTCCTTCAGGGGGGCGCCTGCCGGAATGAGGTAGAATGGCTCCGTGGACTTGTGAGGAAGGAAGGAAGGAGGAGGAGGAGGAGGAGGAGGAGGAGGAGGAGGAGGAGGAGGAGGAGGAGGAGGAGGAGGAGGAGGAGGCAGAGGAGGACTCGGGACGCGAGGGCGTATTGCAGCACCCTTGGTGCATCCTACCTGGGTTCTCCTCATCCTGCTTCTTCTCCCGCCTCCCTGATGTGGGAACGATGCTAGGCGGGGCACTGGCTCAGGAGGGGAAACATCGACATGGAATCGGCGATACGTCGCCGATAGATCGGCAATTGGCCCCCATAGCAAGTCCGCAGGCTCCTCAGCGGGGGGGGCTAATTATCGTGCCCTTATCGGCGATGAATGGGCGATTGGGCCCTGGGCCAGCTCCACCCTAACGTTTCCCCCGACCTCCTCCCCCTCGAGGAGGCTTGGCTGCACGCAAGAGTGAACCTAGGCAATAGTTACTTTGTTGCGCGGCTTTGAGGGGCAATGGGGAGGCCAAGTTCGAGCGTGCAGACCAATGTTTGGGGGAGCCCTTTGGGCACGCACCAAGCGTAAGTCATCCACAACCAGAAATTGTCGGTAAAGGATGTCTGGCGCAACGACTGTCGGTCGCGACCGGAGGGGCTCGGATTTCGGTGACAAAGAGACGGCGCGTCGGGTCCAAAGCGAGGGTTTCGAGGCCGTCGACGGTTCGCTCGTTAACGGAATTCGCAATCGGAAACCGACTTTCGGTCGTATTCGGTTCGTCCAAAGCGCTACCGAACATTTCCGGTAACGGATGATTCGGGAAGGTCACTCGGTGAAGGGTCACCTTTACGCGTCGCCGACAGGCACTGATAGGGGAACAAACAATGACATACTCGCAAAAAATCATAGCTCCGCGCGGATTCCTCAGAGCAGCGCTGGGGCCCCCTGGCGGCGCCTCAGGGGCCGCCCCTGGCGCGCGCGCTCGGCACGCCAGGGATGAGGGTGCAGAGCCGATCCGGGAGATCCGTGCGGACCTCCGAGTTGTTATGTTTATGTCATTGCTTGTGCCCCGAACTCAGACATACGCGTTCCAGTGTCCGCAGGGGAACTACTCGCAAATGGCCTGGATCCGCCGCTGGGGATGTACGATCCATTACATCGAGGCCAGCATGCGCACTTCGGACGTTTGCGAGTACGCACTGTGCGAGTACGGTCGAACCTAGGACAGACTAAGATCCTCCACGAACATGATACCCTCCGCCGACCCAAACTGGAGAGCATTCGAGGGTGCCCTCCCACAGCATGCACAATAATATCCAACAAACATGAAGAACATCAGGGTACCCTCCCGAAACGACCTCGATCTTATACATCGGTCCGACCGTGGTGGAACGCACTCGGTGAGAACTGGGGTCGGGGACTCACTGACCAAGGTGAATGCAAATCCGGGTCAGTCAGGCCTTGCAGGATCCGGCAAGATTCTGCAGGATCCTGCGCCTTGACGCGGTCCAATGCAACCCTGGCCCTGCAAGATCCTGCAAACCTCGTTTGCAGTCAACCCCGTCCCTTGAGCCGACTATACACGCAAGAGTGACCCTGGGTAAGAGTGACCTTTGGTGCGCAGCTTTTTGGGGGCCGCGGGGGACCAAACACGAGCGCGCAAGACGCAACTGCCGCAACGCGCTCGGCGATGGGGGGACCTCAGTGGGCCCGCGCCAAAGGTCACTCCGGCGAGGGGTCACGCTTGCGTGTAGTCGATCGAACGCTTGTTTCCGCCCGGCCGAGGATGAGGGGAAGGGGGGGGAGGCGATCCTCGAACCTCCTCCTCGAGCCTCGTGATCGTCTTCCTCCTCGTCTTCCTCGTCCTCCTAGGGGGACCCGAGTGGGCCCGCACTTACGGTCATTCCGGCGAAGGGTCACTCTTACGTGTAGCCGATGGAGCTCCGAGGACCGGCCCGCCGGGCCCGCCCGCGGAGCTCCCAAAAGCCCCCTGGGAGGGGCGCAGCGAGGCCGGCCCTGCAGAATCATGCAAGTTCCGGCGCGCTGGCTGATCCCCGTTTGCACTGAACCCGTCCTCCTCCTCCTCCTCCCCCTCCCACTCCTCTTCATCATCATCATCACCACCACCATCATTGTCATCATCATTGCTTCCACCGTCATCATCATCATCATCATCATCATCATCATCATCATCATCATCATCATCACCATCATCATCATCATTGTCATCATCATCGTAATGAGCATCATCATCATCATCATCATCATCATCGTCATCGGCATCGTCATCATAATCATAATCATAATCATCATCATCATCATCATCATCATCATCATCATCATCATCTCCGTCGTCATCACCTTCATCATCACCATCGTCATCATCATTATCACTAGCATCCGAATCATCATCGCCATCATCGTCACCTCCATCATCATCCTCATATGCCGCATCATATTCATTATCGTTATCGTCATCATCATCGCCATCGCCGTCATCATCAGCATCATCCTCATCACCACCACCACCACCCTCATCATCATCAGCATCAGCATCCTCATCCTCGTCGTCCTCCTCCTCGATCCTCGATCCTTCTGTACTACTCCTACTCCTATTCCTATTCCTACTCCTACTCCTACTCCTACTCCTAGTAGTAGTAGTAGTAGTAGTAGTAGTAGTACTACTACTACTACTACTACTACGGCTGCTACTACTACTCCTCCTACTACTACTACTACCACCACCACTACTACTACTACTACTACTACTACTACTACTACTGCTACTACTACTACTACTACTACTACTACTACTACTACTACTACTACTACTAGTACTACTAGTACTACTAGTACTACTACTACTACTACTACTACTACTACGACGACGACGACGACTACTACTACTACTACTACTACTACTACGGCTACGACTACGACTACGACCACGACTACGACTACGACTACTAGGGCTGACCTCCTTCTGTTTGCCAAATGAGTCTGTTGTAAGGAGCGTAAAGAGTGTGGTGAGGATTCTGTCCCGCGGACGCGCCGTGCGCGTTTCGTAAATGTTTCGTATAGGTTTCGGATATATTTCGTATCTGTTCCGTATCTGTTCCATATATGTATCGTATATGTTTCGTATACGTTTCGTTTATGTTTCGTATATAATTGCATGTGCTTCTTAAATGTTTAGTCTATGTTTCGTGCATGGTTCGCACTTGTGTAGTATATGTTTCGTATTTGTTCCGTATATGTTGCGCATATGCTTCGTATATGTGTCGCATATATTTCGTATGTGCGTCGTAGTCGTTTCATAAAAAATTCGTACATGTTTCTTGACTGTGTCGTAAATGTTTCGTATATGCTGCGTAGATGCTTCGTATCTGCTTCGTCTATGTTTCGCATATGCTTCGTAGATGCTTCGTGTAGGTTTCGTACTCGTATATGTTTCTGACATGTTCCGTATGTTTTTGCATATGTTTTGCAAATGTTACGTAACTGCTTCGTATGTGTGTTCGCCAAGGGTGTTGTAAGTGTTTCGTACATGTGTTGCAAATGTTTCGCGCATGCTTCGTATATGTGCCGCATATGTTTCGTATATGCTTCATTCATGTATCGTATATGTTTCGCATATGTGTCGCATCTGGTTCGTGCACGTTTCTTGTATGTTTCGTAACTGTTTCGTATATGTTTCGTATAGGTGTCGTACATGTGTCGTATATGTTTCGTATATGTTTCGCACATGCTTCGTATGTTTCGTATATGTCGAGCATCTGTTGCGTACATGGTTCGCATGTGTTCCGCATATGTTTCGTATATGGTTCGTAAATGTTTCGTAAATGTGTCGTATACGTTTCGCATATGCTTCGTATGTGTTTCGTTATGTTGCGTACGGGTTTCGTATATGTGTCGCATGTGTTTCGTATGTGTTTCGTAGATGCTGCGCATATGTTTCGCATACGCGTCGCATCTGTATCGCGTTAGTTTCGCATATGGTTCGTATGTGTTCGTAAATGCTCCGTATATGTTTCGTGTACGTTTCGTACATGCTCCGTGCGTGTTTCGTATCTGCGCCGCATGCGCTTCGCATATGCTCCGCATATGTTTCCTATATGTTTCGCATATGATTCGTATATGTTTCGCATGCATGTTTCGTACATGTTTCGTAGATGTGTCGAATATATTTCGCACATGTTGCGTGTGCGTTGCGCGTGCGTTGCGTATATACTTCGCGTGTGCTCCGTATATGTTTCGCATATGTTTCGTAGTTGCGTCGCGGATGTTGCGCATAATGTCTCGTATATGTTTCGGACAAGTTTCGTATGTGTTTCGTATACGTTTCGTATATGTGCCGTGCACGTTTCGCAAATGTTTCGTGTATGTATCGTA